ATTTTCAAAAGATGGGAAGAGCATTCTAGAACTAAATAGACAAGACAATCAGGAACAATCTTTGATTTGGTCATTGTGGTTTTAGTTTGTTCATGCTGCTGGGTCAAAATCTCTTAGACTGGGTCTTATATACATTAAACACACACACACACACACCCCTACCTCTCACCATTTTGGAAGCTGGGAGGTCCAGGGTCAGCATGCTAGCAAATTTGGTATCTGCTTCTCAAAGGGTACCTTTTTGTGTATCCTCACTTGATGCAAGGGCAAAAAGAACAGACCTGCTCCCATTCCTGAGGGTGGAAATCTCACCACCCAGGAATATCCCAAAGTATCCACCTCTTCCTTTCTTTTGAAAGATTTATTTATTTTTATTGGAAAGGAAGATTTACAGAGAGAAGGAGAGCCAGAGAGCAAAATCTTCCATCTGCTGGTTCACTCCCCCGTGTGGCCTCAATAGCTGCCGCTGAGCCAAGCCGAAGCCAGGAGCCAGGAGCCTCTTCCAGGTCTCCCATGAGGCTGCAGGGTCCTCCCAGACCACAAGCAGGGAGCTGGACGGGACATGGAGCAGCCAGGATAGGAACTGCCACTCATATGGGAAGCTGGAGCATGCAAGGTGAGGACTTAGGCACTACGCTACCATGCTGGGCCCCCATCTCTTAATACTATTTCATCGAACACTACATTTCAACATGAACTTTGGAGAGCCACAAACATTCAAACTGCAGCATGTGATTTTAAAAAAGCAACTATCTTTTTTTCTGTATATTTGACCATTTTTAAAACAAAAAGTTGAGGAGGAAAGAGAAATCAACCTTGGATAATGTTTTGGGTTAACTCCGAGCCAGTGAACTTGTTTTGTAAGAAGCAGGGTTATATTCTTTATATATATGTACGTGTGTGTGTGCATCCGCATTGGTGCCATGTTTGGCATAATGCCTTATAGAAGCTTAATTATCTTAAGGGCTAAGACTTAATACAGAGAAACTTACAAGAGGACGTACTTCCTGGCTATGAAATGTGTTCATCAGCCAAACGCCTTAATTACAAGTTCCTTTGAGTTCATGGTATGTGGTTCTCATTCATTCCCAATCAGAGGCTTGAGTCATAAAGCTGCAGGATCCACGACTCAGTTTCAGGTTCCAGGGGTCTGATATTCGACACCCATTGCCCTTTCCCTGCTGATGCGGTCGCCAGCTTTCCCAAGCCAGAGCTGAGCCAAAGATTAGAGAAACCTGTGGGCTTACCCAAGCCGGAGCTGAGCCAGAGATTAGAGAAACCTGTGGGCTTACGGGTGTGTCTTTGCAGGTGCTGGCTAGAACATGAAGACAAAAGCAGGAGTGATTAAATGCTGGAAACTTCACTGGGGAAACAGAGCATTTCTGGTAGAAGTTGAATTAACGGAGAATATCTTTTCTCTCAGTGAGTGGGAATGCATAGTGTGTGTGTGTGTGTGTGTGTGTGTGTGTGTTGCCGCCGCAGGGGATAAGGGTGATGGGCAGCTTTACAAAATAACATGGAAAACTACCTATAGTTTGATTTGGAAAGAGTCTCGGGGCGGAGAAGCGATAGGAGACGCATTTTTCCTTCTCTGAACTTCATGGAGGGATGATGGAAAGCAAGGGCAACAGTCCTAGGCAGTTTGACGAATCCCTTCGGTTATCGGTGAACTCAAAAGTAGATTTGGATCCGCTCCGCCTCCTCGCCCGTGTGTTTGCGGAGCCAACGTTTCGCAGGATTCCCCAAGGTGCTTCATCACTCTGGGCGAACGACCCGCCGTCCCAGCACATCCTCCGGTCCACCCCCGGAGTCCGCGTTGCGCTCTGCTCCGGCTGGGCCGGTCACCGCAGGCGCCCGAGACGCCCCTCGCGACCGCATCCGGAGCTCTGGGGTCTCGGCCGGCCGGTCGGGTCTGCAGCGTGAGAAGAGGGAGAAGGGTCACCGGGGTCGCCAACTCCGGAAAAACTTGCTGGCCTGTGATGACGCGGGCCTCGGGCTGCCCGAGCCGTGGCCCGGCGCGCCGCGAAGAGGTGCGGCAGAGCCTGGGCGCGCGCCAGCCCGCCAGCCCGTGAGCCGCAAGGACCCGGAGACCCGCAGCGCCAGTGCGCCCGGGACTCTTCCCGCCAGTGCGCCCGGGACGCGGCAGCCGCCGGCCCCCGGGGCTCCAGGCCCGACTGCGCGAGTGCGGCGGGACTCGTGTGCCACGATGCTTTGTCTTCCTGCCGCAGGCACCCAGCGCCGTCTCTTCCTCCCCTCAGACTTGAGGCGCCCGCAGCCGTAGCCATGGAAGTGGCGGCGGCCTGGAGCGGGAGGGAACCGCTTGGAGCCGCGTTGCTCGGGGAGGTTTTTCCTCCATTCAGCTCACTTCTTTTCGCCTCTCTCGGCCAAGTGGGGTCCAGTCTGTAAGTAACCCAAGGGGGACACCTTGAGGGTGGCCGGAGGGGATGGCTGTGCCTCAGCCTGGGGTGGCGGGTTAAAGGGCCAGGTTGTTTAAGTTTCTTGGGATGGGGGTCTCCCGCCACTCCTCTGCCCCCTCCCCCCCACCCGCCGCCACAAGCGCAGTTTAGGATGGGTTTGATTTCAGGCAGTTGGGTGCTGGGGTTTAGTGTTTATTTATTTTCCCTCTTTATTGGTCACAAGGGTGGTTTACTTACATTCTGGGGAGAGTCCTAGCGGGGTGAGAGAAAAGCCTAGCGGTTGGAGAGGGGAGGGCGGCGGAGGAAGGAAGCTTCGAGCCAGTCCGGGGCCATTACTTAGTGCGCATCAATCTCAGATCCAGAGCGCTGGGCCCCCATCCCCGACCCCAGTCATATCACCCCCAGAACTCAACGTTCCCCTCCCCCCATAATTGCCTTGCTGCCATTCTCATGGACGTCTTGCAAAACCCCGGGACCAGCTTGTTTTACACACACAGGCATGCTTACCAGTTTGTTGATTGACTGAAGGATGGTATATCCTACAGAGGTAGGTGTGCCCACCCCCGAACCCCACTCCCCAGGAATTTGAAGTGGACACTGAGCAAACTCCCTGATGTACAGCCTGGAACACAATCACAGGCAGGGGGATAATACACTTGGCTCTTAGCTGCCAGAAAAGAACCCATGTCACAACTTCCGGGTTCGAGTTCCAGGGTCAGGAGTCAGGGGGGCTCACGGGAGTCTAACACAAAGCGCCTTGGGGGTTGGGTGAGGCACACTTGGGTTTGAATCTCTGTGTGGTGAGCTGGTGTGCTTCTCCCTCTGAACTTTGATCTCAGCTGCTCCAAGTGATGTATGGAGGATGAGTGGAAAGGAGACACGCGGCAGAGACGCACTCAGGGAACTCAGTCTTGCTTCCCATCCTCCCAGGATTCTGGGGGAGAGGGCATCTTTCTCTGCGGGTCCCTCTGGAGGTCAAAGCGTGGCAGTACAGGGATGGGGCTAGAGGCCAACTGCCCATGGACTTCTGGAGGCAGGGAGGGGGGAGGGAGGCTTCGAAATCTCACTCAGAGTAGCTTCCTTTGGGTGGGGGCGCACACACACGTCTCTTGGGGGCATGGCTGGGAAGAGAAGACATTCCTTGCTTGTTTCATTTCGGTGTCTCATTGCCAGAAGGAGCAAACGCGTGGCAACAGTCCACAGAAGGTGGCTCTAAAGTCCTGGGAAGCTATCTGAAGGGTGAAGGAGGCAGGGCAACCCCATGGCACTGGCACAAGCTTTCCCTGAGCTAGGTCTGCAGAAGACTCAGGGCTGCAGCCTGGGCTGCCTGGAGAGCCAGGGACAAAACACTGCCAGGCTTTCTCCGAGTCCACAGTGGGCTTCTGTGTTTGTTGTCCTTGGACTCACAAGCCTGGGTGTGACAGAGGGGCACAGGTGATGAGCCAGGCTTGTGCCTTACAGTGGCATGCCTTTTAAATCAAGTATTTCTGAGCAGGTAGTATGTGTGAGGCTTGGTGGCCAGGCCTGGGAAGGGATTTGTAAGCAGCCTTCACGATCGTCTCCTCACTGGCTGGCTTTTTTGGAGGCCGAGACCCGACCACAAACCCCGCTGGGGTTTCAATCGGGTCATTATAAGTGGGGAGGAGGGGTGAGCATGATCTGGGTTCAGTGTCTTCCCAGGAACATTGCTGGGCCCCCTGCCCACCTGCTCTTACTGGGTCCCCGGCTCCCAGGGCTGCCCCTTGGTCAGCTGCCTGGTCTGGTAACTCTGCTTTCCTCTGTGGGCCCCCTGCATCTCTCTCCAGCCCCTCCCCGGCCTTAGGGCGGCGGCTCCAGCCGGTCTGCAGGTAGCTGGGGTAAGGAGGCAAGCTGCGCCTGGGGAGCGAGCTTCCCCGGGCGGGGAGACCACAGCCAACGCGGAACGGTCCCAGAACAAAAGGCTCATGGCTGGCACCAGCGTCCTCTGGGTGCGCTGGGGACCGGGGTTCGGGGCTCAGGCGGGAGGGGACCGGAGTAAAGAAACAAAGTGAGAAAAGAAGAAAAGGGGGGCGTCCAGGGTGGCAGAGGCAGAGGTCTGCGGCGGGGCCGCAGCGGCCCTTCCTCCGCCTCCTGCAGCGCCTTCCAGGCAGCCAAGCGTGTCTCCGGCTGCAACTCCACCGAGCGTGCCGCGGCCACCAATACGCCCCGCCGGCCGGCCAGCCCAGCTAAGTAAGTAGCGGCACGCTCGCCGCTCTCTCCCCACCCTGCCGCTCCCGCCGCCCAGCCGGCGAACCCACCGCTGCTCGCTGCCGGGGCCGCGGGCCGGTGGTTCAGCTCGCAGCCGGGGCTGGGCACCTGCGTCCGCCGCGCCCCGCGCTCTCTCCCTCCGTGGCGCGGCGTCTGCGGCGCACAGCAGGGAGGGTCGTTGTCTCCGCGCGCTCCCCGGGAGCCGCGCCACCTCTGCGTCCAATGGCTTTCGGGGGGTGGGGAGTGGGGGGCGTCGCCCGGGGGCGAGCAGCGGCGGGCGGGGTGGGGCGTGTGCGTTCGGCGCGGTCGAGTGAGGCTGACGTGCCCGCCCAAGCGCGCGCCCGGGCGAGTGTGTGTGTGTGCGCGCGGGAGAGGGTGTGCGGGTGTGTGGGCGCACACGCCTTCGGGGGGCCGGAGTGACACTGCAGTGGGCTTTTCGCTCGCCGGGGCTTACGGCTGCTCGCCTCCCAGCCTGCCCGCAGCGCTTTGGGAAAGCTTTCCCGAGCCTTTTTCTCTCCATCCTTTTCATTCTCCCCTCGCTGGTATCACTTTTTGCTTTTCCTTCTGGGTTGCGATCAGCTACCCCTTCCACCCGTGCAGTCACCCAAGCGGTCTCCAGTTCTTTCCTAAGCCACTATTTTCTCCACCCGTCTTTCTCTGGGGTGCCTCCACGAGCCGATCCAAGGCCCTTCCCCGGCCCCCAATCCTTAGAAATTGTTTTGCTGGACTGCTGTACTGAGGCGTGGAAAGCCCGAGGGCTTTATTGTTGATTCTTTTCCTTTATTCCCCTTCTGGGCAACGGAGCAATGAAATTTCCAATCGAGACGCCAAGAAAACAGGTGAACTGGGACCCTAAAGGTTGGTATTTCTTACTTTTGGCTGTCCTCCTCGCCCTGCCTCTCTGCGTGTGCACGCTTGCAGGAGTGGCAGCGCTCTTGCTCCTGGCAGCCAGTGTCCTGAGACTGGGAAATGTGCCCAGGAACTGCAGCGCCGGGTGGGAGGAGGGCGGAGGCAGCGTGGGTTCCGAACCCAGATCGTGCCTGTCATTGTCACATAATCATTGTCCCTCCTGGATTGTTTCACGATCTATTTAGAAATACACCAAGCCAGCTGTTTGGCTTGAAATGGCACCAAGTGTGGGCATTTGTGTGTGTGTGTGTGTGTGTGTGTGTGTGCGTGTCCTTTGTTTCTAGTGATCTTTGTCTCTCGGAGGTGGATAGGGTGTCTCCCCTTGGACCTGGAGCTGCGCCGCGTGCCCAGAACTGTCCTCAGTGGGAAGGGTTTCCAGGCAGCGAGTGGGGCTCGCATCTGTAGCCACCGTCCCTGGGGTGGCCCTTCTCATAGGGCACACTGCCGAGGACTGGTGCCCTTAGGGCCTCTGGGAGTCTTCTGGGCTCAGTTCTATTACTAAACCAGGCTTGAGTTTGGCTTAGGTGGGAATGGAAGAGGGAGCGGGTGGGGGTTGTCTGGAAGGGCGGGGCTGGCCCAGGTTGGGGTTTATAGATTTTTGGGGAAGTTGGACCCTGCCCTGCCCTCTCCGGGCCAACGGGAGATAGATCTCTGTGTGCCACACTTCCTTCACTATGTTTGTAATTACACAGATGTTAAGGCATCTTTGGAGCGATCAATGAGGAGGCAGAAGTTGACACCCTGTGTCCAGGGGTGAAAAGAAGGCCAGCCATTGCCCCCCCCCCACCCGCCCCACCACTTGTGTGTATTGGGGTTGACATTTGTATAGTGTATATGTGCTTAATGTCCTCTTTGGCCACACGGCTTCTTTTCCTCCAGATTGGAAAGAGGAAACCCTTGTGTTGGTTGAATAAATGTATGAATTGACTGGCTGGTAAAGAGTGAAGTATTAGCTTCTGCAAACATCAAGGTCTTTTTTTTTTTTTTTTTTAAACACACCTTCAGCACCACACCAAACTTCTACTTTGTCTCCGAATCTCTGAACATATGGAAGGGTACTTTGGCTATTTTTGGGATCCCTTCAAAATATGTTTATCCAATACCTACTGCATACCAAGCAAGCACTATAGTAGGCACTGGAGAAAGTCACCACGGGAGAGAAAAAAGAAGCTCTGTATTTTTGTAGTTTATAGTGAGGGGGATGGATCTAAATTAATCGTGGAATGGAGAAGTGAGTAATTGCAAGTTTATCTGTGTTCCATGAAGTGTTTTAAGAAAAAGTCTGGTGAAAGAGCTTGATCAAGAGCATGTTAGGTGGGTCATTAGGGGACATTTCCTTAAGGAGAGTTACACTGTATGGAGACAAGGAGTAGAAGTCAGTTGCCTAATGGAAAGGTGACTGTTGTAGTAGAGGAAACAGCAGGTGCGGCGGTCCTGAGGCAGGAGTACATTTAGTTTAGGAACTGAAAGGCTGGAGTTTGTGTTTTGAGATGTGATGGGGGATCCCTGGGATCAGACCCCAGTGTCCTGTGCTGCCGGAGGTAGGGTAGAATTGAAGTGTGGGAGGAGCAGTGCAGTGTCTATCTGAAGCCACTGGAGACTTTCAATCTGAAAGATGTGATCCAAACCAAATTTCAAAACATGTGCCCTGTGGCTCATGTGGAACACCAGATACAATGGCACATGGACCCAGGTGTGGCTGTGGGGTTGGAGAAGTGGATGAGTAGGAAGCTATTGGAGACATGGAACCAAAAGGTTTTGTGTGAATAGAATGTGGAGGCAGAAGCATTGGAATAACTGGGTTGGCAACCAGGGTGGGATCAGTCCTGACAAACCTCATGAGTTTAGGACGGACTCATTGAATGGGAGATGTCCCATGCAAGGATGTGTCAGGGCGGTAATTGTCTAAAGGGTGGGATTAGGATCTTCAGGGAATTCTGGGAGAGGGTGAGAGCTGAGCCACTGACTTTGTGAAGCTGGCCTTTGATTTAAAAAACATTTTTGTATGATCTTTGTTCTGTATATATTCATGTCCCAGTGATAAGCACAGGTGTGCTTTTTGTGCATTTCCAGTTTGATCAATAGTGAAGACAAGTAGGCAGGTAGCATACACAATTACCAAAGGTGCTACACATGAAAAGACCTCAACAAACAAAACACTATTGAATGAGCAATCATTGCATAGCAGCTGTCTTGTGTGCATTCCTTCATACAATTACTTTCATAACTGTGATCCAATGGTGTGTGTTAGTGTGCCATGTGACACTTGATTGACATCATGACAATGATTGACACTCAGTTACCTTCCACCTTCTGACTTCATGTATGGTTGTTTTTGAAGGTGGGAGTGACAATAATCTTTTCCTTTTCTTTAAAATTTATTTTGTTTTTATTTGTAAGATTTACAGATACAGAAGGAGAAACACACACAGAGAGATATCTCCCATCTGCTGGTTTGCTTTCCAAATGATTATAATGGAGAGCTGTGCCAGTCTGCAGCCTGGAGCCTGGAGCTTCTTTTAAGTCTCCAATGCAGGTGCAGGGGCACAAGGGCTATCTTTCTCTTCTTTTCCAAGCCACAAGCAGAGAGCTGGGTTAGAATTGCAACAACTGGGAGGCAAACTAGCACCTGTATGGGATACTGGCACCATAGGTGGAGGATTGACTTATTATGCTATGGTGCTGACCCCAGAATAGTTTTTTTTTTTTCTAGCCAGGAGTTGGTGGCAAGAGGGGAGTGGGGGAGGTGGAGGTAGCAAATTTCACATTTGTATAGAATTATATGTGAGGCACTAATCCTATATTTATATTAGTTTTAACCATCACATACTACACAGGAAGCTAATTTTACAAATGAGAAAATTGAGGAAGAGATAGGATAATTAAATTGTCCAGTGTTGCACAGCTTAGTAAGTGATAGAAATAGCCTGGGATCTGAGATCTTAAACATACTTCAAGTCTAGGCCTGGCATAGTAGCCTAGTGGATAAAGTCCTCGCTTTGTGTGTGCTGGGTTCTCATAGGGGTGCCAGTTTGTGTCCTGGCTGCTCCACCTTCCATTAATCATCCTACCTGTGGCCTGTAAAAGCAGCTGAGGACTGCCCAAGGCCTTGGGACACTGCACCTGAATAGGTGCCCCAGAGGAAGCTCCTGGCTTCTGGCTTTGGACTGGTTCGGCTCCGGCTGTTGCGGCCACTTGGGGAGTAAACCAGATCTTTCTGTCCCACCTTCTCTGTGTAAATCTGACTTTCCAATAAAAAAGTGACTCTTTTAAAAAAAAAACAACCCAACAAAAATCCACTTCCAGTCTATGCTTTTGAGGTTATCAGAACTTGCGGCTCTTGCCTGGTGAAGGACCTCCAAAACTCAGGGGCTAAAGAAGTTTGTTGGAAGAATAGTGAGGAGAATGTAGAAGCATGAAGAGGTGAAATAGGGAAGAGTGAGGTTCTGAGTCAGCCTTTTCCTATTCATTGCTTTCTCCACTAACCCATCTATCCAGTGTCTTCATTTCTGTCTGGTAACCCATTTACAATAGGCACTAGCTGGACATTGGGTCTGTTTTGTACAAGTTTACGTTTACATGGAGTAAGTGTGACTGGCAGGGCAAAGATGAGGAGGAGACCAACATTCTGGTGGAAAAGCAAAAGAGGGGAGGTTCCCATTGTTCCCATTCCATGGCCTGTAATATTTTCCTGGAAACAGACTTGAACCTTCAGGTAGGGATGCTCTTGAGTTGTGAAGGGAAGTTGTAATTGCAATGTTTTGCTTATGGCCCATCACCTGACAATTTAATAGCGCAAAATGAAGGTGGTTTGAGAACAGATTGGTTTTGATTGCACTTGGGTGAATTAAGCAAAGCACTGTCAAGAGGTGTAGGTGCAGAAATAAGACCTAAATATAAAAGGGTGAGTCTCTGGTAAGCGGTGGCTTTCTTTTTTGTTCATGAAACTGAACCTTCAACAAAGAAATGTGCTACCTGTGAAAGAACCTACACAAAAGGTGGACTGATACAAACCCTTGCCTTTCATAGCGCAATTTTTATGCATTTAAAAATTAGTTATTTTTCTATATATGGAGAGGGAAACATGGAGAGGGAGGGAAGAGAGGGGAGGCAGAGGAAGAGGTAGAGAGAGAAGGAGCCAGGGAAGAGAGGGCAGGGAGAGGGAGAGGGAAATCTTTTGTCTGCTGGCTTGCAAAACCTGGACTGGGTGAGATCAAAGCCAGAGCCTAGAATTCAAATGGGTGTCAGGGGGTGCAAGCACTTGGGTTACTATCTCTTGCTTTCCAAGAGGCACATTAGCATAAAGCTGGGATTGGAAGCAGAGATGGGACAGAAACCCAAGGATACAGGCATGCCAAGTGGCATACAAGCTATATGTTAAGCCTGCCCCATTTGTGCATTGACTGTCTCCAGCAGCACTTGTTGATGACTTTCTGTACAAAATTAGGCTTTGTGGTGCAGCATGTTAAGCTGCTGCTTGGGATGCCCATATCCTGTATTGGAGTGCTTGTGAGAAAGTCTGATCCAGTTTCCTCCTGGTGTACACATGGGCAGCAGCTGATGGCTCAAACACTTGGGTCCCTGCCACCCATGAGGGGACCCAGAGGAAGTTCTAGTTCTTGGCTTCTGGCTTCATCTTGGTTCAACCCTAGCAATTTTGGGTATCTGAAAGATTGGACCAGTGGGTGGAAGATATCTCTCTGTTGTTCTGCATTTCGAGTAAAATAAAATTGATGCTTGTTTATTGCTTATTTATGTTGAGAGAGTTCATTAAACATCAGTAAGATTGGCAAACAGTATTCCTGACCTGCAGTAAGGAGGTCAATATGGTGGCAAGATTTCTGGAGTTAGGGCAGAAGAGTTAGGTTCTGCAACTAGCTGAAGCAATAATGAGCTGTGTGACTTTGTGCTGCCTCTCTGGGCTTTACTTTCCTCCCATGTGGGGAGCA